TAGTATCGGGGCGGCATACGGTGACGTGCTTGCCCGGATAAATCCCTTGGCGAGCAGGTAATCCAGCTGTCTCAGAAGTAGTTAAGACTTAGGCACTAGAGTGTTGGGTAGAACGAGAGTGACGAGAGGAAGGGGTCGAGAGAGTTTGACAAAAGAGGGTGATTCAATATTGAGCGAGGGTACAAATAGGAAAGAACAAACAAGAAAGGTGCACCACCAAACAGAAACTTCTATGACTACAGTATTCTACACTACAGGCAGTTACAAAACAATATATAGAGTTATATATTATTCTGACACGCCCCCATAAGTGCCTGTAGGGAAGAAATTGCAGTCAACGCCCCCATAATGGGGTACACCATACAGGTGCAACGGAAGAAACAAATGCAGGCAAAAGCAGTGGTAACCGGTGCAAAAGTGGCAGAAACAGCTGTAGCCAACCCTCAGCCAAGGAAGAAGTAGTAACAGGTGTGGGAGGCGGCAGGTCGCCTGAGGAGCAGGCTCTGTGGCTGCATCAGGCAGCAGGACAGCAGCGGCTCGACGGCAGCACCTGCAGGCCCCAGCAGCAGAAAACAGAAAACAAGGCAGGTGGCGACAGGGGCGACAGCTGGAGGTGCCAAAGTAGCAGCGGGCTGCAGCAGCAGATACCCGGCTGTCTTCCGCCACCCTCTCTCACCCTCCCCCCCACAGCTGCAAACGCAGCAGTGAGAGAGAGAGGAGGGGGGACGGCTGTTAGTCCTCAGTGTGTCGTGCCACTTGGTCTTTGCCACAGCGGACACTGCTGGACTCGCCTACGTGAAGTCCGAGCTGCTGAAGAGACACACGTGCACAGACCTGGGTGAACTGCGCAGCTACCTTGGCTTGCAGATCACTCGGGACAGAGCACGCCGCACCATTACCCTGACTCAGTCACACATGGTGCAGCAGGTCCTTCAGCGCTTCGGCTTCACGTACTCCTCGCCTCAGGCCACTCCTCTGCCTACTCGCCACTCACTCTCAGCTCTGCCTTCGGATGAGTCCGTAGAGTCGAGTGGTCCGTATGCAGAGCTTGTTGGCTGCCTCATGTACCTGATGACCTGCACTCGACCTGACCTTGCATACCCTCTGAGCATCCTTGCACGCTATGTTGCTCCTGGGAGACACCGACCAGAGCACATGGCTGCAGCGAAGAGGGTATTGCGCTACCTGTGCAGTACGTCGGGCATGGGGCTAGTGCTTGGAGGGCGGAGTCCAGTGGTCCTTACTGGGCACGCAGACGCTTCTTGGGCTGACGACCAGGCTACGCAGCGGTCGTCACAGGGTTACACCTTCAGCCTTGGTTCCGGCTCTGTCTCGTGGCGGTCTACTCGCTCGTCTTCGGTTCTCGGCTCCAGTTGTGAGGCTGAGATCTACGCCGGGGCCATGGCTGCACAGGAGCTTCGCTGGCTCACCTACCTGCTGACTGACCTTGGAGAGCTGCCTCGTTCTCCTCCAGTGCTGTACGTAGACAACAAGGCCATGCTGGCCTTGTGTCGAGAGCAGCGCTTGGAGCACAGAACGAAGCACATTGCTCTCCGCTACTTCCTTGCTCGTGAGCTGCAGCAGCGTGGTCAGTTGCGACTTGCTTACGTGGCCTCTGAGGCCAACACTGCTGATGTGTTCACCAAGGCACTTGCGCCTTGCGACCATCAGCGCTTTTGTACCCAGCTGGGTCTTGTACCTGTCTTGCCTCACTTGCTCTCTTCTTGACTTTACTTGTACTTTGACATATATATACCTGCTCTGATACCATCTCAGAAGTAGTTAAGACTTAGGCACTAGAGTGTTGGGTAGAACGAGAGTGACGAGAGGAAGGGGTCGAGAGAGTTTGACAAAAGAGGGTGATTCAATATTGAGCGAGGGTACAAATAGGAAAGAACAAACAAGAAAGGTGCACCACCAAACAGAAACTTCTATGACTACAGTATTCTACACTACAGGCAGTTACAAAACAATATATAGAGTTATATATTATTCTGACAAGCTGGGCCCGCAACTCGGCGAGCTCTGGTTGGCTGAGCCGCCACTGTGTCCGAACAGTTGGTTGCGCTCCAGGTTCCAGCTGGATCCGATGGTCCTCAGGTCGTTGGGGGGGCAGGCCATCCGGAAGATCATCCGCGAAAATTTCGGGATATTTCCGAATAATGCTCGCCAATTCCTCAGGGACTGCTGCGCAAAGGGTGTCGATGTCTGCGATTTTGTCGGAAGCTTTCACCTCGTACAGGTGTACCAAGAAGGCTTGAGCTCCACCATTCATCGCTCGCGCCATGTTGAGCGCGTTGACACGTGTCGTCACCGGCTCCGGTTCCGTCCATTTCGGAAGCGTCGTTTTTCCTCCATATGCTCGCACGACGCACGCCCCAGTCGTCCAGTCGATCGTCGGATTAAATCGTTGCAGCTAATCTCGTCCCAACAGCACATCACAGCCATCCAACGTCGTCGCCAACATCTTCATGCCAAACCCGAATTTTTCGCCACATTTGATCCGAATTCTTCGCGCTTCATCTCGGATGGCCAGTGGTGTCCCATCCACTAGCCTTGCATCGATCTCAGGCAGACACCTTGTCAGCTTCACCCCAATTTTTTTGGTCGTTGCCAGGTTGACGAGACTGTGGCTCGCCCCTCCGTCAACGAATGTTTTAATTTTATAACCGTTAACCCTCCCCACCACCAGCACAGGGTAGTCCTCGTGTTCACCCACGTTATTCGTCCGGTTCTGGTCGATTGCTCTGATCGGTACCACGACCCGGTGTGGATGGTGATTGTCGGGCGACAGGGTCTCGTCAGTAGGTGGCCCTTCTGCTACTGACTCAAATCTTTTCCCGACCCTTCTCCGTCGTTCTTCTTCCCCTGCTTAAGCCTCGGGCAGTCTTTTTTCAGGTGGCCCAGCTGGTTGCATAAAAAGCACGGCCCAATGGCTCGGCTTGGCGCATCCACGCCGTTGATCGTGGGCTGCTGGGTCGATCCACGAAATCGAGGGCCCTCCCGGGAGCTCAATCTCGCCCACTGCATCAGTGCATCCGTTGACTCGGCTTCTCGAACGGCGTCGTTGAAGCTTCGTGGCCGGGTTCGTCGGACTTCATATTGTATTTTATATTTTAAACCTGCCACGTAGCGATCCAACCGTTCCGCGTCGCTCATATCATCCACTTGATCCGCCAAGTTGCAGAATACACTGGTGAAGTCTTGGACCGAAGCCAGCTGCTTCCAGGCACGCAGCTTCATGCGAGCACAATCCGAGGCGGATATGTGCTCGAATCTGGTTCGCAAGGCGGCGCCCCACTCCCTCCATGTGCGTATCGTGGCCGTCCCAAAAATCGATGCTGCCTAATGCGTGACAGGTGTTGAAGTCCCGTCGTTCGCACGTGCAGCTTCTGCCGAAGTCCCTTCGTGCTGCAGCGTTCGCCTCCACCACTCCAGCGCAGGTCCTCACAATAGTGAAACTGCGAAATTAATGCGGGTGGCATCGTCATTAATCATGGCAGCATTAAAAAACACCTCCACTCTGAACAACCATGCAGAAACAGTGACGAACTTGTCACTTGGGTTAAACGGGGGCAGGTTCGTCGGCTTGATTTTAACAAAAGCCGTTGTTGCCATCGGGGCCGTTGGTACTACTGTCTGCGTCGCCGTCGTCGTCGCTGCTGCATGTGTCGGTGCTGCACGCGACTGTTGCGGCTGTACCTGGCTTGCCTCATCCGCATCCATCTCGCCTTCCAGCTCACTCCAGACCCGCTCATCAGGTGCAGTGCTGCTACTTGCGTTGTCCACAACAGGCGACTCCCGGCGCGCTTCACCACGCGCCTGGTGTAGTTCGGCGTTTTCTGCCCTCAGGCGCTCCAACTCGTCAGACATAGTCTGCATGTTGGTCTGCATCGCCCGAAACTGTTGCATGAGCTCGTTGAACTCCGCCTGGTCCATATGTCGCAGGCTTCGTCTAACGGGCAGGGGGTGACTAGCGATTTTTCTGACTTTGGTGAAGGCGTTAATGCTATCGTAGTCGGAGTGGAATAATCGGATCTATTCCACGGGCCGACCGCTTAACAGCCCACCAAGTCTATCGCTCCCCTTCTACAAACTACCCCAGAAACGCGAGGGTAACCTAGGAAAGTAGCTCTGATACCAGGTGTTATGAGTTGTATGAAAGAAGAGTGCGCAGAATTCAACATCGCGGAAGTGATTACAAGTACTGAGCGCACAACGAGGCCTAGGACTAATATAGCGAAGCTAGCTGGGCCGAGGTTGTAGGGTCGCAGGATGGCTGGGTGCAGGCTCGGGGTTGTGAAACCCGAAAGCGACGCGATAGTGGTTCGGAAGGCGAGGTCATCGGACCGAGCCTGGTTTTCCGAAAAGTCAGGTTTGTACGCGTACAGTATGACCCAGTAAGGAATCCGAAAAATTCCTTACAAATTGGCTGTTTTGTTTCTAGCTCAATGCTTCCAACTGTTCTTTTTGTTTCCACTGTACACTAACAATTCTCTTACCATTAGTCAACTTTGTGTCCAATCAAGAAAGGCTCTTCCACTTCTCTCTTCCCAAAGCAAACCCTCTAGCCCTTTGTCCCTTTCTTTCCCATCCTTCTCTTACTCAAACCAAACTCAACATTTTCTTGGAGCTTGTTTCATTGTTCTTCCTCACAACACATTCATGTGAGGCATACATGCTATAGTATGTGTAGACTGTAGTGGGGCAGTCCATATCGGGTACAACACTTAAGGGTTTACTACTTGTACTCCTCATTCTGCTCAATGCATTCATTCCTCATTTCTTATCATGGTATCACAGCCAAGATCAAAGATGGCAACACCCGCCCTAGACAGATCTCCCCAGCGAGGGATCTCTAACTCCTCAGGGAACAGGCGACGCCACGCGTCCGTCAGGCGACCGAAGCAGCGCTGGGTGGAGTGCGGGCCCCCGCAGTGTTCACCAGCTCGGTCGCCGGTACGGAGGACGTAAGTGCAGGGACCAGTACCCCCACCGCGCTAACGCGCAGCGTACCACTCACGAAGCTGCTGAGGGGACAGAGTCACACCACTCCGCTGCTGCTGGCGCGGACCACCACCTGACCAACTCCTCTTCGCAGAGTCGCGACCCGCTCTACCACCGCCGCCGCCGCTGCCTCCGCGGCCTCCTCCACCTCCGCCTCCTCCACCTCCGCCTCCTCCGCCACCTCCGCCGCCTCCGCTCCCTCCGCCATCACCGCCGGCTCCGCCTCCACTGATGCCGCCGCCGCCGCCACCCCAAGCACCACTCCCACCACCACCCCCACTCCCTCCACTGCCTCCACCACCACCTCCACCGCCCCCCCCAGCCCCTCCAGCGCCCTTGCCCCCCTTGCCCTTGCCGGTGCGGCGTCTCCCGCTAGGGGCAGACGCAGCGCCGACCGACTCGAAACCAACAAGGTCGGCCGCAGCAACAAAAGCAACAGAGGGCAAGAGGGGGGAGGGGGAACACCCCTCAAAGACGGGGGTGCGAGGCTCACCACGAGAGGCTCCCACAGCGACTATGCTCTTCTCTGCTGCTAGGAGCCCCTTCTCGAGGAGATCAACGGTGAGAGTGGTGGGGTAGACTGAGAGGAAGTGGTCCCTGACTACACGGAGAGAGTCAGGGAGCCGGGTGTCTATGTAGTAGAGGGTGATGTACATGGGGGGGGGGGGTCCTGGCGCAGAACTCAGCAGGTTGCGCAGCGCAGTAGCGAGTGTCACTAGTGCGGAGGTGCGTAATGAGGTCAGCGACTGTGGGAAAGGCAGCAAGGTCAGGGAAGAGGTACGGTAGCATGAGGCGGCTCAGTGCAGCAGTGGCAGTGGAAGAGTAGCGTGCAACTACAGCGTCGTACAAGGTCTGAGCACTCTTGTACTGGCTAAAGTGTGCATGCTCAGTAGTCAGTAAGTGGGGACGCACAGCAAGACGGACAGCAGCATCGCGTGTCGCCCACTATGATGCTATCCTTGCTGCCATGTATTCCAGGACTACTAGTGTTGAGGGTGACTGTTTGCTGTTTGTACCGCCTGACCCGGGCATTGAGGCCACTGCTCTAGGTGCTGGTGAGGCTGCTGCTCTAGGTGCTAGTGCGTTTGCTGCCCCAGGTGCTAGTGCATCTGGTGCCCGAGGTGCTGGTGAGTCTGCTCTCTCAGGTACTACGTCGGCTCAGGCCTTACACACCTTCACCCTTCACTCGGGTGCGTCCCGCTCCTTCTTTCGAGACCGCACCACTCTTACGCCCCTTAGTCGTCCGGTTGCAGTCTCCCTGGCGAACCTCTCTGGGGGTCCTGTCCTTGCTAGCTTCTCCACTGTCTTACCCTGCCCGGCTGCCCCCTCTTGCACCCTGTCAGGTCTCTACCTCCCCTCGTTCTCTTTGAACTTGGTGAGTGGAGCGGACCTACAGGATAGGGGGGTTCACCAGTTCACTCCTCCGAGTCAGGTGGTGACCCACTCCACGTGTGCTCGGACAGGCCGACACTTGGCCACGTTCACCCGTCGGCCAAGGTCGAGCCTGTACACCCTTACTACTAAGTCTCCTCCGGCTGCTGAGTCTGGCCAAGTAGCTGCGTTGAGTCAGATGTTTGCTGCAGCGTCCAGGTCTGGTCCTGAGTCTGCTCCCCGCTCGTGTCGTCTCATGTCCCACCAGACTCTCCTTTGGCACCACCGCCTTGGTCACCCCTCCTTGCCTCGTCTCCGAGGCATGGCCTCCCGTGTCCTTGTCTGTGGTCTCCCCCGGTCTCTCCCTCCCCTACCTTCGGGGCCTGCCCCTATCTGCGTCCCTTGCGTCGAGGGGCGACAGCGCGCCACCCCTCACTTCTCCGAGTTTCCTCCGACAGAGGCTCCGCCGCAGACTCTCCACATGGACGTGTGGGGCCTCGCCCGCGTCCGTAAACAGGGACACGAGCGGTACTTTCTGTTGGTGGTTGACGACTACTCGCGTTACACCACAGTGTTCCACTTGCGCACCAAGGGTGACGTCACTGAGGTGTTGATCGACTGGATCCGTGCAGCTCGTCTCCGGCTCAGAAAGAGGTTCGGCTCGGACTTTCCTGTTCTGCGTCTGCACTCGGATAGAGGCGGGGAGTTTTCCTCTGCCCGTCTGGGAGCCTTCTGTCAAGCACAAGGCATCCGCCAGACCTTCACGCTTCCGGCCTCTCCACAGCAAAATGGGATTGCTGAGCGCCGCATTGGCATGGTCATGGACGTCCCTCGTACGTCTATGATGCATGCGGCTGCCCCCCATTTTCTGTGGCCGTTTGCGGTTCAGTACGCCGCGCATCAGCTCAACCTTCAGCCCCGGGTCTCCTTGCCAGAGACCTTACCCACCTTGCGGTGGATGGGGAAGGTTGGAGATGCGTCTGCGTTTCGGGTCCGGGGATCTCGGGCGTTCGTCCGCGACTTGTCTGCGGACTGTCAAACATTATATATGTTGTGTTTGTTTAGGCTACAGTGGGTTAGCCTATAGGGGGTACACAATTCTAGGGTTAGGTACTTGTACTGTTTTCACTGCTAGTTCATTCATTCCTGTTCCGTAGTTCCAACATGGTATAGAGAAGGTCCTTCTTAGGACCGAATTTTTTGAAGGGCCCACCACTACCTACCTAACTACCCACCTACCTACCCTTGGGCGCCTTGGTTTTTTTACGGCCACCTAAGGCCCCGACTGCCCGCCCCTAGAGGCCCCGAACGGTCCACGCGCTCGCCCCTAGCGCCCCCCTTTTGGCCCCGCGATCGCCCCTAGAGGCCCCGTCGGCCCCGCGCTTACCTCCCTAGAAGCCCAGAACGGCCCCGTCGGCCCCGCGCTCACCTCCCTAGAGGTCCCCTACGGCCCCGTCGGCCCCTAAGAGGCCCCGATAAGGCCCCGCGCTCACCTCCCTTGCGGCCCCGAACGGCCCCGCGCTCACCTCCCTAAGGCCCCGAACGGCCCCGTCGGCCCCACGCCCACCGTCCCTAGAGGTCCCAAACGGCCCCGCGCCCACAGCCCCTAGAGACCCCGAGCGGCCCGTTACCGCCACAGCCCGGGACCGAAACGAGCCGCGCAGGACCGAACCGAGCCGCGCGACCGAACCGAGCCGCGCGACCCGAGCCGAGCTGCGCGACCCGAGCCGATCCGCGCGAACCTAGCCGAGTCGCGCGACCCGACCCGAACCGAGCCACCCCACCCGAGCCGCGCCGCCCTGCCCAAACCGAGCCGCCCTAACTGCTTCTACTACTGCTACTGCTGCTACTTCTACTGCTCCTATGGCTAGCCCACAGGTTCTAGTTTTCGATGCTGAGGGCCGCCCAGTGAAGTTTGACACCTGGCTAGATGACCTGCACCTCTACCTACAGCTCACAGCCAAGGACGACATCTTACTGTACGACCACGCCCTAGGCCATGTCACTGCCCCTGCTGCTACTGCTGACAGCACTACTCGCTCACAGTGGCATACTCGTGATGCCCACGCTCGCTTCGCTATTCGCAACTCCCTGCCGATAGACGAACGCGAGCACTTTGGCCAGCACAAGATTGCACACGCACTGTACACAACTCTCGTTGCTCGCTACTCCTCACCTGCCTCTGCCGCGCTAGGCCGTCTCTCCCTCCCCTACCTGTTTCGCGACCTGGCCTCGTTCCACACAGTCGCTGACCTCATCACGCACCTCCGTACTAGTGAGGCCCGCTTCCGTGCCGCCATGCCGGCTGAGTTCCTTGCCACGAACCCCCCCCCACTCTGGCTCACTCTCTACCACCTGGTCACCCGCCTCCTTGACACACTGCGTGCTGTCAGGGACCACTTCCTAGCTCGTTGCCCCACTGAGCTCACCATTGCCCTCCTCGAGAAGGAACTACTTGCAGCTGAGACTAGCATAGTCGCTGTAGGTGCCTCTCGTGGCGACCCCCGAACCCCGTTCTTTGAGGGGTGTTCTCCTTCCCCCCTTCTTCCCTCTATCGCCTCTGCTGCTGCTGTCGACCTCCTTGGTGCTGAGAAGGTCGGTACTGCGTCTGCTTCGAGCAGGCGCCGCGGCGGCAAGGGCAAAGGGGGCAAGGGTGGTGGCGGTGACGGCGGGGGAGGTGGTGGTGGGGGCGGTGGAGGCGGTGGGGGTGGTGGCGTGACTGGAGGGGCTAGTGGCAGCAGTGGGGGTGGTGGCGGCAGCGGCGGGGGAGGTGGCAGGGGCGGAGGCGGTGGTTGGGGTGGCGGTGGACGAGGCGGCGGCCGGGGTTGGGGTGGTCGAGGAGGTGGCGGCGGCGGTGGTGGTCGTGGAGGCGCTGGCGTTGGCGAGGGCCAGCAGCACACTCCGTCGCCACAGGAGGTCCGTGAGTGGTACTCTCAGCACGGGGGGGGGGGGGGGGGGGGGGTGGCCTTAGCTGCACGTACGTCATTCACACTGGTCAGCAGTGTGGACGACAGCACGCCACACAGCGCTGCTTAGCTCGTCTCGATGACGCTTGGCGTGTTCAGTTCCCTAAGGCCACTGAGCTGCCCCGCTGGATTGATCTCCTGAAAAAAGGGATTGATATCTATGCTCTAGACTTTGATGCTATTCTATATGCTATGTATGTGATGTCTACTAGTGGAGAGGGTGCTGAGTACCTGTGTGTGCCGCCCGACCCGGGCATTAGGACTAGTGCGTGTGCCGCTCCAAGTACTCGCGTGTCGGCTACCCCAGGTGCTGGTGAGGCAGTTGCTCTAGGTGCTTGTGCGTCTGCCCCCCTTGAAACTGAGTCGACTGCAGCACTGCACACCTTCACACTGGACCCAGGTGCTTCTCGCTGTTTCTTTCGTGACCGCACTGCCCTTGAGCCGCTTGCTCGGCCAGTTGCTGTCTTCCTTGCTGACCCCTCTGGGGGTCCGGTCATTGCAACCTCTTCCACTGTCCTTCCCTATCCTGCGGTCCCGTCGGGCACACTGTCAGGTCTCCACCTCCCCTCGTTCTCTACGAACTTGGTGGCAGGATGTGCTCTCCAGGACGGGGATGTTCACCAGTTCACCCCTGCCTACGAGCGCGTGACACACTGTACGTGTGCTCGTACGGGCCGTCACTTGGCTACATTCACTCGGCAGCCGGGGTCGGACCTATACACACTGACTACTGTGTCCCCTTAGGTTGCTGCGTCTGCGTCTGCGTCCGCGTCAGGTCAGCTGTCGGCCCCCTGCTCGTGTCGCTCTCTGGCGCACGAGACTGTCCTCTGGCACCACCGCCTTGGCCACCCATCTGTGCAGCGGCTTCGTGCCGTGCACTCCCGGTACCTTGTCTCTGGCCTGCCCAGGGTCCTTCCTCCCCTCCCACCCTCACCTGCTCCTACCTGTCTCCCCTGTGTCGAGGGACGGCAGCGCGCCGCTCCTCACTCCTCCTCGTTTCCCCCGACGACTGCTCCCTTGCAGACGCTCCACATGGACGTGTGGGGCCCAGCCCGCGTGCGTGGTCAAGGTAAGGAGAGGTACTTCCTGATAGTTGTTGACGACAACTCGCGCTACACCACGGTCTTCCCCTTGCGCACCAAGGGTGAGGTCACTGATGTCTTGATCCCTTGGATCCGCAGAGCCCGTCTCCAGCTCAGCGAGCATTTTCACTCGGTCTTTCCTATCCTGCGCTTGCACTCTGACAGAGGTGGTGAGTTCTCCTCCGATCTCTTGGCAGCCTACTGTGCTGAGCACGGCATTGAGCAGCCGTTCACGCTTCCGGCCTCTCCAC